GACCCATTGCTGTTTTGGAAAGTTATTGGAATAGCTTCTTGTGGTATCAATTAGGTTCCTCTGCGATTAAGGTGAACTTCAAATTCCATAATTGCTAACCTTTCAGCTCCCAACGCCAGTACTGTACCTTTTATATCTGGGGCTGAAAACTATGACACTAGCAGCATTCATTTTGCGTTCACGTTGTTTGTCAGGATCGTGGTATTCGTATTTGGAGTACCTGGTAACTGCCTGATCCTACGTGTCTACTGGACCAAGGCACGTAAGACCAGCACCCACGTTCTGATCATGGCCTTAGCCTGGGCTGATCTGTCCGTTTGCCTTATCTTGCCTATTGACATTGTGGGACATGCTCTCGAATGTGGCGGCAAAGATGGTCTTCGCATTTTTTGGTTGTTGATTGAGACATTCGAGGGAATTGGCATAGCTGTTTCGCTTGGTATCACCGCCGTGATTGCTGTGGATCGCTATGACTGCATATGCCGGTCACAGCGGCGGTATTGCACGCCAAGACGGGCCAAGGTAGCTGTTTTTGTTGTCGTGCTGTTCTCAGTTATATTAGGTATTCCTGGAGGCATCAAATATTACCTGTGCCAGCCGTCAGTGTCAGGCATAAACCTACTTGTGCCAATTTTCCGAATCATTGCTGTCTTAATTGCGCTTGTTACAATCGTACTGTGTTACGGGAACGTTTACGCGAGGATCTCGAAACACGTAAGAGTTGGCGCCATTCCTGAACACACATTAACACAAGATGATCAGGTTGCCATCAAGATCGACAAGGACCAAATGACACCAGCCACACAACCCACTTTGCCAAGGAAAGGTCAACTAAGTGCTACCAATAGTCACATAACCAAAAGAGGAAAAGGTTCTGAACGCATTGGCAAATGTTCAACACAAGCGCTATCATCAGCTGCTCCGGCTAGCATCGAAGCTAATACGTCCATTGTCGACAACGAAGTATCAACAGTTATCAATCTGACAAACGCCAGCTACACGACTAACGCACCTACTTCAAGGCGGGACATTCTTGAAGTTCCCCAAAATGCAGATGGTAAGCTGGTGAATCCTGCCGAGCGTGATTCCAAAGTTGGCTCGAAGAGCGTTTCTCAAGCAGTTTCAGAGCAAGGCTGTAGACATGAGGGCGGGGACAGGAACTACCGTGAAGCAACGGACGCCGGGAGAAGACACGCCCCTAAAAGGATGGGCGCCGCCGTCCTACAGCGTAAGACAACAAAAATGCTCTTCATTACCAGTGTGGTGTTCCTGCTGACGTGGATACCAGATCTGATTAAAAATGCTGTAGACATTGCTTTTTTGACAGATAGTAACATAGACCCTGAGAGTACATTTCGTGTGATATTGGATTGGCTGTTTTACATCATATATGCAAACAGTGCAATTAATCCATTGATTTACGGACTGGCAAACAAACGATTCAGGAAAGACTGCAAGGAGGTGTTTCGAAAAATGAGACGCTAGCTGTTCTTTTGGGTTAACTCCATCTCGCTGGAGCAAACTCATAGCGGTCGGTCAAGTTGAGGTTTGTGTGTTATCGTCAATGATGTCCCGAGAACTGACCCTAATCCTTTGACGTCATCCCTTTAATTGTGAGTAATATCCGCGGTTTGTTGATTTTAGGAAAAGATATTTCCATGAAAGTCTAGAGATATTCTCCAGATGCTTTGTGGAAAAGATCCTTCCAGTTAACCAGACGTAGATTGAATTCGTAATCACGTTTAAGTTGTCATTGATTATCACTACAAGGGCTGTATTATTAGTCAATATTGTATTTATTATTTTGTTAATGGATGTTAACTGATTGAAGAGCAACAAATGTTATCCCCTGAATAAAAAAAAACCAGATGTAGATTAAATAAGCAATATAGTAAAAAAATCGCCGTTATTGATGCCGAAAAGTCACCTAAAAATCGTGGAAAATCTTTCGAAAAGGTGCCCGAATTTTTACTTATCTCAATTTCTAGGAATCCTCACAAGTTGTTATTTCACGAGTAGTTCAACACTAATATAATCTAAATACATTCCGAATTTCAGCTCAATCTGTTTTGAAAACGCTAGTGTTACACCTTGAACTATCTTCAAGATAAATGTCGCTGGACTAGGATTTTTCTGACGACCAAAACGGCACGTAGATTTCAGGTTGGCCGATTTTGCCGCAACAATGACGAGGCGCATTATTAGCATATCAATAGCGTGACTCAGCATGACTCCGTTACCGACCATTGGAAGTTGGGGGAAAAGGATGACATTATAACTTGTGAAGGAGGCAATAGTGCAATTTTTTACTGCACACCATAATGGATAGGAACCTTATAAACATTTGTGAGGCTTGAAAAAGATTGACAGATATTGCAAACACACCAGTGTTACAGCTCTGAAGAAAATGGACGTACCCAAGCCTATTTTTTCCAATTTTAAATATCAAAATTATTTTTAGCACAAAAATATGCAACTTTCAGCGTTTGTTTCAACCATTACTTGCCTGCATTCAGCCTGCATGTCAACTGGAGCATCGATGACTAGATATTAATGAGTTTTCATTAACCATTACAATGTTATGGATTCATCGATGCGTGAAGAGTGGCGTATGCAGGGGAAGGGGAGGGGGAACAGGGGGCATGATGGTGATGCTGGATATGCAACTGCGTGAAACCAACACAAAAACCTCCAAAAGCGCCTGATAAAACTCCCTGTAATGTGGGGTTTTTTTTAGCACAGAGAACACTTAACCTTGGTATAATTCGACTGGTATGCACCCAATTCAAGATGACGACTTCTAGTCAAGCGGACACAACCGTCTACTATATCAAGATCAAACTACAATCACATGTACAGCTTGCATAATGGGCCATTCAAATAGTTTGCGATAAAATCAGCTGGTGTTTGATTCACCTCGGTGGTTCGTGGTGTTAGTATACGAGAGAATCAAGCTCGACCAAATTGGGTGCAGTATATGTTTTACAGTTGTACTTCGAAGATACCAACAAACAATCACACAACTGTCGAATTGAAAGGCAAGCGTTAGATTTATTCCAAATGAATATCTAAACAAATGGCAACGGGCCACTATAAACTTTATTAGTATATTTAAATATGGTACATTGGCAAGCTGTTTTGGCAAAATTGTATAATTTTTTTCCTGTCTCAAAATAGTGCGGGCTGCCTTCATTTATAATGCAGTAACTCCGTGGAAATACACAAAAGACGGCACAACCATTAATTGCCTCATGCATTCTACCTTGTCATGTCTCCAAAATGTCATGAGCATCGCTGAAAAGAAATTAATAAACCATTTTATATAACTGACATACAGATCCTAGTCATTTGATTGGTGGAACTCACATCACGTGGCATTCGTTATTGCTCCCATTCATGCCACGGCTCAAAAAGTACTATCCGCCCATGGGGAATGGGAAATACTATTCAACAGTTAGGATCATGACTCGGTATTTGTGTGCAAATGCATGCTGGTGTGCGCGTGCAGCGTTGCGCGTAGCGCGTATTGTTCCAAAGAGCCAGCGCTACAGCGTTGGGTTCAAACATTTTCGTGAAGGGGTGGTTTGGAAGAGACAAATACATTTTCCTCCAGGTTTGTATTGAAATAAAAGTTCAAATATATCAAATGACAAGGATCTATATGTCAGTTATATAAAACAAATATTGAGTGGCTTTAAATTGTGAAATGGGAGGAATATTATCGCTCGGTAAAATCTGGACTTTTCCATTTCACTCGGCTTCGCCTCGTGAAATGGAAAAGTCCAGATTTTACCTTGCGATAATATTCCTCCCATTCCACGCTGAGCCACTCAATATTTGTATAACAATAATTGTATATGGATTCACTGATCCATGAAGGCAACACACAAAAAACAGCCAAGCGGCTAATATCCCTGTACTGTTTTCTTTCAGCACGGAGTATATGCGTAACCTTTGGTGTAACCCGTCTGATACGCACCCAAGATGGCGACTTCTAGTCAAGATAAGGAGGATACGCACTATTGATTGGAAATTTTCTGGGCCTTTAAAACAGTTTGGTCGAGACTAATAACAACTTATGTATCAAGATCTAACTACAACCACAATGTACAGCTTCAGCTTCGTTCTCACGTTACCTTTCCTACCCGTCTGCAGTGCGTGTTCAGGAGATTATGTTTTCGATATGCCTAGGCCTATATAATTATTTACAATGCGTCATGGGTCTGGATGACAAACAAACATGGCCATTTGTGCACACACCTATGGGGCTATGAACCAGTTAACACTTTCATTTGATTTTTCCTCTTTTTATATCAAGAATTCAGTGATCATATTTTCACTAATAGTGACAAAGGTAATTTGAAATATAACCATTAAAGAAAAATGCTTTAAAAAAAGAAAAATCAGAACGAAGAAAATTTGGAGGATGCCTTTTAGAGACCAATCTCATTACTCATGAATACCGTTTTACTTCCCTTCCAATATTGGCCAATCAGAATCAAGATAACAAGCTCACGCCCCCAACACTGACCCATGCTTGAGGACTGGTACCTGAAAAGCCATTTCAAGTATTTCTGAAGTTTGCAAACTGAATTTTGTCACAAAAAAATAACAAAATTTGAAAATTGAGCCGAGTGGATCATGTTTTTTTTCCAACTCATGTGTACGCGGCAGAGACGCAAGCTCCGTGTTACTATGGCAACAATCTTTTCACGTCAGGTTTAATGATTTGTAGTCGGAGACAAGCATATAGAAACTGTCATCACCATATATATGCTTGTTAAAAGCTGTCATTTAATTTACTGTCGGTGATGAAAAGTGCTGCGTGTTGTGCATCCTAATGAAGGAGCACTTAGTCCAATTGCTCTTCTCACTGGAGTCTGTATGGTGAAGTATATATGCGAAACCTACAAGATACAGTTGCTGTTTGGAAAGCTATTGGAATAGCCGTTGTTGTATTGAGAGGCTACTCTTCGTGCAGATGAACTTGAAGTTCTACTATGGCTAACTGTTCAGATCCAAACGCCAGTATCGTGCCTGATAATTCCTGTGACACTGGCATTTTTGAGTTCGCGTTGTTTTTTATAGCCGCTGTTTTCGTATTTGGAGTACCTGGTAACTGCCTGATCCTGCGTGTCTATTGGACAAAGGCACGTAAAACCAGCACCCACGTTCTGATCATGGCCTTAGCCTGGGCTGATCTGTCCGTTTGCCTTTTACAGTCGGTTTACATTGCGGAACTTGCTCTCGAATGTGGAGGCAACGGTACACACCTAATTTTCTTGTTGATTGGTACATTCGAGACAATTGGCATAGCTATTTCCCTTGGTATTACCGCTGTGATTGCTGTGGATCGCTATGACTGCATATGCCGGCCACAAAGGCGGTTTTGCACGCCAAGACGGGCAAAGGTAGCTGTTTTCGTTGTCGTGCTGATCTCAGTTATAGGAAATATTCCTGAAGGCATCAACGATTTCCTGCTGTGCCCGTATAGGCTGTTAGGCATAGGCCTACTTGTGCCAATTTTCCAAACCATTGCTGTGTTAATTGCACTTATAGCCATTGTGCTTTGTTACGGGAAAGTCTACGCAAGGATCTTGAAACATGTAAGAGTTGGTGCAATCCCTGAACGCACATTGACGCAAGATGATCGGGCCGCTTCCAAGATCGACAAGGACCGAACGATACCATCGACACAATGCGCTCTGCCAAGGAAAGATCAACTGAGTGCTATCCACAGCAAATGTTCGACACAACTGATACCAGAAGCTCTAGCTAGACTCGAAGCTAATACGTCTGTTGTCGACAACGAGGTGTCGACAGTTATCAATCTGGCAAGCACCAGCTATACGACTCATCATGCATCTACTTCAAGGCTGGACATTCTTGAGGTGCCCCAAAATACAAATGATAAGATGGTGAATCTTGCCGAGCGCGATTCCAAAGTTGGCCAGAAAAGCGTTTCCCAGTTATCAGAGCAAGGCTGTAGTAACGGCGGGGACATGAACCACCATGAAGCAACGCCGGACACTGTGAGGAGACATGCCCCTAAAAGGATGGGCGGCGCCGTCCTACAGCGTAAGACAACAAAAATGCTCTTCGTTACCAGTGTGGTGCTCCTGCTGACGTGGCTACCAGTTCTTATTTATAATGCCATCGAAATTGCTTATTTGACAGATAGCAACATAGACACTAAAAGTGCATTTCTCACTCAGGCTATATTGGACTGGCTGTTTTGCATCATCTATGCCAACAGTGCCATTAATCCATTGATTTACGGACTGGCAAACAAACGATTCAGGAAAGACTGCACGGAGGTGTTTCGAAAAATCAGACGCTAGCTGTTCTTTGGGGTAAGCTCCGTCTCTCTGGAGCAAAACCATAACGGTCAGTCAATATGAAGTTTTTGTGTGTGTGAGTTATCTTCAGTGTTGTACCAACAGTGTTGCATACTCGTACTCGGTGCTTTGGACTCGGACTCGGACTCGTCACACACAGTGTACTTTGGCTCGGCCCTGAACTCGGCCCAAAAGTACTTTAATGTACTCGTACTCGGTGCTTTGGACTCAGACTCGGACTTGTCACAGTGTACTTGGACTCGGCCCTCTACTCGGCCCCTTAGGTACTCGGAGAACACATTACTCGGATTTGAGGACTCGACTCCAAACTGTGTACCAATAACCGACCGCAATCTTTGACGTCATCCCTTTGTGACTAAAATCCGTGGTTTGATGATTTTAGGAAAAGTTCCATCATAAAAAAGATATTTCCAGGTATAAATATTTCCAGTTAGCTAGACGTAGATTTAATAACAATATTCAAATCCAAATCACTAGACGTACATTAACAAACAATAAGAAATCGAAGCAGGCCGTTTTAATGGAACCCCGAAGCAGCTTTAAATAGCTCATTTGCTTCATCAGATTCATCGTTCCACTCGGCGAATTCATCATTGCATTCAGCAAATTCGTCGTTTCTTAAGGCTAAGTTTCATTCAACGAGGTCGATTGGAATGATGAATTTAAATACAGAACGAAACAAGATGTTACCAAGTGGTATGACACATGTGCCGAATGGACTGATGAATTTGCTAAATGGGACGATAATATTTGCCATTATGACAAATGTCCGAATGGACTGATGAATTCTTCGAACGTGCAAACCAATTTGGAGCATCATGCATGACACATTGAGAACTATACTAATGGTGATGGTATACTTAAGCCAAACCAACATATTAATGTTTTAATGGTTTAAGTGCTGACTTTGGGTTTATACCCGCTAAGTGCAGGCCATTAATTTTACAATGGTTGTCATGGTTTTGACAAGTGTGCATGTAGATCACCTGGTTCAAATGAATGACATAGAAAATAAGGCTGACGAATGGAAAATTATTAATGGGCACGCTAAAATGGCTGAACATGTCCATCGTGGAGTTGCTTATGAATGTAAAAACTGGATGGCTGACTAAGCATCGTTAATTTCGTAATCAAAAATTGAACTCTTTCTATTGCGAATTCTGACTGATTCTAGTGAGACTATAGACCCCCTAAACAAACACAAACATTGAGGGGTTTAGGGAACGCTTTTTTTTGATGGGATCGATAATCTCAAATCGGAATACAAAATAAACACAAAATTAAGGCAGGGGGCTTTGTATAGCTGGTTACAGGGCGTATAAACAATATATAAAATTGATTTGTGAATGACTATTCAATGAAGTCTTTTATTGCATCTGGTGTAGCTACACCCATGGGCCATTTAGCCCATTTATTGGCGTTACACAGCAATCCTGAGTCTGTCAATGCGTCAGTCAAAGATGTTGGTTTTATAATGCCAACATGTTCGGGTTGGGTGATTAGCTTTTAAATACTTGTTTGGTACCCACGTTTTTCACACGTTTAGTCTGAGACATATTTAGGATTTTGCACAGTAGTGAAGCCTGATAGTGCCATCAATAATAACTAGTAACAAAATCAAATATGTATTTTAATGTTCTTTTCTTTTGTAGACAGAATGATGTGAAATTGTACTGTGATAAACTTGTGCATTTAGCGTGTCATTTCCGTTCTCTTTTTTTGTGTTCATGTTTTTCCATGCAAAATTTATTCTGTTTTCTTGCACGAAAAGATCGATTTTGAATCAGTGTCTGTCATATTTCAGGCGAGTGAGGTTTATTTTGTCATAATTAAATGGAAAAAATACGCTGACTTAAACGCGTGCTGTGGACATTCATCCTACAGTCTACTTATTAACGAGCCCAACAATATTACCACCAATCTTGTAGATTGGTAATTGGACGCAAAGTATCCTCCCTTATTAAATATGTACCAGCCATGTGGTTGCGAATTAAGGGCGATTTCTAATGGTTACGTAACACTTTATTTGAATGAAACTACATGTAAGTGGGTCTAATACAGGAACACTGAGCATATTTTCTGAGGAACACAACGTTCAAAAGGCCATGTTTTGGGGGTTCACGAATTTCACTGCTCGTTACAGCGTCTAAGTACGCAATCGGAGGCTTTGCTTGACAACCGGCACGCTTTCGCCTTCGCAACCATAATGACTAATACGGTTGGTAGACGAATCGGCTGTCGAGTTGACATCTTTTATAAACCGTGTGTACATAAGCGTGGTTGTTTCGATCAAAAAGAGAACGATGTAAGTCGTGATATGATTCGTTGAGGACATAACTATAGCAGGCCCGTACGCAGGATTACAAGTGGGGAGGAGGCTTGGTCACAACATCGGACCGTGCCGTCACGCCAGTTTGAAAGTATGTAGGCCCACAATGTATACCTGCGTTTGTTTGTGGTGTAAATCGAGGACACACGCGTGCAACATCATCGGTGAAACGAGGACAGGAACCAAATCGAGGACGACCACGATTAGAAAACGTGTACCAATGACGAGAGCTGTTGGGGAAAAGTTTGAGTACAAACAAAGGAAAAGGGAAGAGGAACAAAAGAAAATCGTCGAATACACCATAAACAAACGTACGTGCTGTATTACAAGCATACGTACGCTGCATGTAACGCCCATTCCTTGCAGTTTGTACAGTAAATGAGCTATTGTGTGGTGAAAAATGTTATAGTTGTTATTCAATTATTATATTTTGTACAAAATTATACAGTATATACACAGTGCATAGTGTCTTACCAGAAGGGGTGCGGGGCGCCCGGGAGAGGGGGCACACATGTGAAAGTAATAGGTTGACCAGGTAACGGAAAGAATACTCCTTTAGACTTTTTTTATTTCTAGATTTTTTTTTGGGGGGGGGGGGGTTCTACGCACCCAGGGCGCCCCTGGGTACTGACGAACATTTTAAAAAATCCAGTAGACGTATTGGAAATGGATTGAAAGGAAATGACGTGTAAAATTGCTCCCAATTTAACAAAGCGATGGTCTTGATAATATAATAATGATGAAATAAATTGGGTCGATCGTTTCTCTGTCACAGTGGTGATATCAGTAATTACAAGAAAAGTAACGCACCACGAGAGTAAAATAATGATAATAATAATATTAATATTCTTTTTAACGTCTCTGTCGGGAAACGACGCAAAAGTCTTGCGTAACACACAGGAGATTTGCAAAATAATGCGATACAGTACACGGTGAAATAACGCAATAATAGACCTACATTTTGGAAATATCACACTATCATTGTTTTGCGAATTAATGCAATAACAACAAATACCACATTATCATTACGACGTTATAGTCAGGATCCTGAATTTTTCAAGAGAGCTAGATAATGACAAGGAACCGGACCGAAGGCCTGAAACATGCAATGGATCGAGATCCTATGGTGTGTCGATTTTTTTTGCAGAGTTTGGTGTTTTTTTCCCAGCATAACACAGGATGAAAGATAAATTGGCCGGGATTGATCATTTTCCCCTTTGAAAAAAAACCAACACAATTTGATACACCAAAAAAAGCATACTACAAGACCATGCTCTTCCACTCATCTGCAGACAAAAAAATCCTTGCTATCGGAAGTTATGCATGTTATGTTAAAGATTTCTGATCAAGTTAAAAACCTTTCAGTCTCTTAAAAAAAGTTTGTTTTTCTAATCAGATTCATACATGTACACGTTTTTTTTTTAAACCTCACTGGGCTACCGGATACACACTTTTACAACATACAATACTCACCAAACGTGGGCATACACCCTAGCAATCTGTTCTACGTGCACCCATACTGAAATTGGAATCCTTGTGGAGTAATTTCTTTGTTCTCGTGTACTAAAGTTTTCGAGTTTAAAAGTGTACTGAGGCTTTCAAAATGCTCATATTTCAACCAAAATGAATTTCCTGTGCTAAAATCTGGACTATCCTTACATAAAATACTTCAATTTGCGACCGATCAATAAACCTTGGAAATTCCTATATTTTTTTAAAAGTTAAATCCATATACCAATTTCGTGATAACCTTCTGGAGACGTATTCATCTATAGAAATTGCCCTGTGGAGACGTATGCAATATTTTGTTCCCTATTGTGCCCATGTCTTCACAGGGTACCGTGTAACAGATCACTAAAAATATCGGCAAGGAAGAAATTGTATACACTTTGAACGGTGATTTATCATAATGTCATCATTGGGGAGAGGGAGCCGGGAATGAGACGGGGCATAGCAGCTTGGACAATTGGAAAAGCAGGAGTGTTGTTCATATCCTATGCAAGTAGTGAGGGGGAGGGGGAAAGGGGAGGGGGACGGAGGGTTGTCCCCACACACCCCCTCCCCGGGATTAACGCCGTCCGCGGTAAAGAGGCATTGTTGCATAATATCAGCAACATTGAATCGATAACTTCTTCATCTGACAATAACAGACATCTGGGGAAAAGATTTCGCGATTTCGTAACATTTATTGAATTGAATGAATACAATTGAATAAAACCGAACCGATTAAATTGAATGATTAAAATGATTGAATGAACAAGTACATACACATTCTACTAACACACACACTTTTTGTTAAAGCTATAGTCCATCATTTGCAGCCATCCGAAAAAGTAACTGGCGTATTATTGTTGAAAAACATATTTGGTTAAAAGATAGTAAGTGGACTAAACTCCCTGTGAAATTAATCTTTCAGGAAAGCTTTCATTTTGAATTAATCAACGAAAGAAGGCCTTTACCAATGGTTCGTCTTAAAGCTATAGTCCATCATTTGCAGCCATCCGAAAAGTAACTGGCGTAATTAATTGAAAAACAAACTTGGTTGAAAGATAGTAAGGGAACTAAACTCCCTGTGAAATTATTCCTTCTGGGAAACTGTCATTTTGAAGTAATCAACGAAAGAAGACCTTTCCAAAGGTGATTCTTAAGAGGC